AGATGAAGATGAAGATGAAGATGAAGATGAAGATGAAGATGAAAATGAAGATGAAGATGAAAGATTAAATTAAAAAATTCTTCATCTTCATCTTCATACAGTTTATTCAAAACCATTTTTGATACCAATATTGCGATACTTTATTTATTTTAATAAATAATTTGAATTTGATTTTCGTATATATGGCAACCCTTTAAAAAAACTATAATCATATTACACATCTACAGGTCAAGCCCTTTCATTTGAGACCTCATTTTTCAAAATCGAGCAAACGATACAGATTTTATGACTTGGTGTTATATATTTAACGCAACCATCTCCGAACTCGACTAAGAAGTTTCACTTCAAAAACAATAAGCTGTGTGACTTGAGTTACATTATCTATATTTCATGTTTTATCTATGGCATTTTCAGTTTAAATTAAACCCTTTCAGGTTAAGCGAAACCTTTCAAATTAAATGAAATCTTTTTCAAATTAAGCGAAACCTTTTTCAAGTTAAATGAAACCTTTGTTCAAATTAAGCGGAACCTTTTTCAAATTAAATGAAACTTCCTTTTTGGTTTACTGTTAACTCACTGTTACGCGTTGCTCTTCTTTACGGTCAAGCAGGGGCGGCGGAACACGTGGGTATGGTGGGTTGTACCAACCACCTGAAATTTTCAAAGGTGGGTAATTACCCACCTGAAAACTTTTTAGAAGAGAAAAAAGTCCAACTGAAAGTCCTGTATTAACCACACCTGAATAGTATTTTCGGAAGATATATTATGAAAATTTTAACCAAGTTATTTGCTCTCGGACAAGAAGATTTGATACTGAATCGGCAACGTTTTATAAAACTTTAGAAAAGTTCATTCTTGGTGAGACTGTGGATTTGAAGAAAATCGTCACGTTTTATAATGGTGATTTTGACGAATGCAGACTCAATAGCGATAAAGATATAGCTCTGTGCATAATGAGGCGCACAGAGCAAAATTCAGGATCTGTGAATTATGTTGTGCAATGTTTGCGTGAAAACGAATTGTGTGTGGGACTTGTTCCTGAATATGTACGCTTAGATTAGATTACTTGTTGCAACTCCAGGGTCGTCATGCTCTAACGAGAGGAGCTTTTATGTTTTGCGTAGGGTGAAAAATTATTTGCGCTCGACAATGCACCAACAATTTTTTTAACGAAACCTGTTAACCTTCTCAATAACATCGGCAACCTATTTGCTATACCTGTATACCAACGGTGGGCAAACGCGGCTCTTTGCTTAGCAAAATGCGGCTCTTTTTACTTTCTCCATGCTTAGAATATTTTGGCTCTTTTTACTTTTTAAAATACATATTTCTTTGCTGGACATCTTTTCCATTGTGTTGTTTTTTTTCTTCAGAGATATGATCTGTTAAAGTTTGCCTTTTTTCGTGATCCTGACTAATCATGTACTTCTTCAAATCGTTATATCTCGGGTTCTGCTGATCGTAGAGACTTCATATTAACGTCATTTTAAAGCTTAGAAACGGGATTAACATTTCTATATATAAGGGGGTCAAGATTGTCATAAAGCTTACTTAGCTACTAAGGTTGCAAACAGAGTGGAAGCGAAGCCGAAGACGAAGATGAAGACGAAGCCGAAGACGAAAAAAGGTGCAGTAGTAAACATATGAAAGTGATCACAGTGCAAGCAAAGACGAAGACGAAGATGAAGACGTTGCGCAAGCGGTCAGCTTGAAACAGTGCGGTACTGTTTTCAAAGACGAATCGCTTGCTGTGATGAATTGTTTACAATTTATTTAACTGTTTGCAATTGTGAAAAAACGCATTTTTCAAGAAATTGGCTAAATTTTTGCAAAATGTAATCAAACGTATTATTGTATATTCAAAAAATGTCTGTCCGTCTTGCCGTAACACATAATACAAGTGGCGAAATTCTCCAAAAGTTGTCCTATACAAATTATTTCATGAATTGCTGTTTTTTCTTTATTTTCTTTTGATGTTATCTAAAAAAAGCGTTTTATTTAGAACAAATCTTTATATCATTATCTTCCACTATGTACACTCGCCAGCTTGCCCGCAACGCAAGCAATTCGTCTTCGGCTTCGTCTTCATCTTCGTCTTCGGCTTCGTTTCCACTCTGTTTGCAACCTTAGAGTTGAACTTTATGGAGTTGATTTGCATAGTGAAGACCAGTAAATTAGGATTTAATTCTCTATAATAATAATGATAATTCTCTATAAAAAAACGTGGTTCAAAAAAATGGGCTTTTTTCAAGGACTATTTTTAAAATATTTTTCTTTATGACGAGATCTTTTATTTTGTGAGAATCAACAGTTATTTGTAATTTTGGTAAAAGTAAATTTTTTTTGCGGATTCCGATAGAACACCTAACCAGATATAATATTTGTATGGCGAGATTTTTCTTTAAGGCGACCAACCCCTAAAAATGGGCGTGGCACTTGCAGGACTAAAATTAGCAAAACGCAGATTTTATTGCGGATTTCTGCAGAATATCACTTCGTTAACAATATTTATTCCACAACTTTTTCAATCCATATAGATATTCTGGCGAAATCCACAATAAAGTTATAATTTTTGAACTTTGGTTTTAATATAGCCTCGATTGAAAAAGTTGTGGAACAAATGTTGGTAACGAAGCGATATTCTGCATAAATCCGCAATAAAATCTGCGTTTGGCAAACTTTAGTCCTACAAGTGCCACGCCCATTTTTAGGAGCTTGTCGCCTGGCAAATTTTTTTTTAGTTTCACTTTTATTTCAACATATTTTGATTAAAAGAAAAATATTGATAAAAATAAAATTTTTCATAAAAACAGGGTTGAAATCTTGAAATTCCTGCCCGTATTTTGTTTGTAATTCAAATATGAGTGGCATTGTGCTACTATGATAGCACGGCCGAGTAATCATAGGCAACTTATGTACAGTAGTCGAAAAAATTATAGCCGCACCAAATTTTGACAAGTTTGAAAATATTATTTTTGTTGTTATTTAATTTCGGTTAGTTTTTTATAGTTCGTTCTTTACCAACATCAGTATAAATACAAGTTTAAAGGCAGTGTCACACGATTGGGTATTTGCCAAAATTTGGTGTAAATCGTATCCCAATTGTTTGAACACCCAAAATATTTTTCACTAGAACATCGCTGTATTGTACCAATATTTTGACTACAAAAACAAAATTGTCCAATTTTTTGTTTTTCTAGGGCCAAAATTTGAAATTTCTTATAAATTTATATAAGCTGATTATGGAGCTTTAGGCCGGTTAAATAAAAAGCAAAACAAAGTTATCTTTTATCCTCCTACGCGTTTCGGCGTCTTTTCGCCTTCATAAGGGAGTCTGTTTATTCGAATAGAATAGGCGAACATAAAGCAGACGTAAGAAACAAAAAATCAACTACAGCGCTAGCCCAACACTTGACAAACAGCGGACATTCGGCTGATTTCAACAACACCAAAATATTAGACATGTCGGCCGCTGTGGTGTATGGTAAGCAGTGCGCGCTTCCACTCCACAATGCCTGGGTTCAAACCCTGGTCAAAGCAACATCGTCAAAAATATAGAAACAAGGTTTTTTCTTAACAGCGGTCGGCCTTCGGC